TTTCAGAGGTCTCAGTCCATAGGTGGCTGGCTTCCTTCCCTGGGGCTCCAGGTAAGGCAGAAAACATCATGATGGAAGAGTTTGGTAAAGGAAAGCAGCTGGGAACAGGGTACCAGGAAGCAGAGAGAATGTGTTCTGCTCAACAAGGACAAAATATATACTCCAAGGCATGTCCCAGGGACCCACCTCTTTCAGCCACACCCTACCTGCCTAAGGTTAACACCCATTTAATCCCTGTCAAGGGATTAATGCATTGGTTAGGATAAGGCTCTTATAACCCAATCATTCACCTCTTAAGTTTCTTGTATTGTTTCACACATGAATGTGGGGGGACACTTAATATCTAAACCATAACAATTGCCTTGGCCCATATAATGGCCTTTATGTGCTACATTCAATAGACCTTTAGATTAGTATTTCTAAAAGAGCAAATCAGTAATCTAACAACTGGCTAGTCAGATGGATCTCTTATTTTTTTTAAGGAGTATGTACCAAGTTCCTCAGTAGAGTGAAACATTGAATGAATGTCTTAACCACTGAAAGCTTGTGTTAGTGAGCTTTTTGTCACTATGACCAAAATACCTGACAAGAAAATTAGAGAATAAAATGTTTATTTTGGGCTCACTGTTTCAGAGGTCCACTCCATGATTGGGCAAATCCATTACTCTGGTCCTGAGATGAAGAACATCCTACTTGAAGAAGAAAAAAAGCATTCAGCCCTAGAAAAGAACTTCTGTGTCCCCTCTTCATCCACAGGAAATATACAAGTGGATGAAAATCTCAGGCAGCCCCAATGATGTGAGATGTTGTGCTGTTGAGAATGGCAGAAGGGTGTGGCAGAGGCAAGCTGCTCAGCTTGTGGCAGCCAGGAAGCAGAGAGCCAGCAAGCCAGAGACAAAATATAATCCCCAGGGTCATGCCCCCTGTGACCTACTTTCTCTAGCAGCATCCCCACCTGGCTGCAGTTACCACCAAGTAGTCCATTCAGACTATTAATCCATCAAGTGGATTAATCCACTGATGATGTTAGAGCTCTCATGATCCAATATTTTCACCTCTGAACATTGCTGCATTGCCTAACACATAAGATTTTGGAGGGACACTTAGATCTAAATCATATCACAAGTTAAATAAAGTTGGTAATGCTAAAGAGATATCGTTTTACTTGTTAATTGCACTATTGAAAACTTACAATTAAAAATTCCACATAGGTATTGGACTTCAGCCTTTATCTGTCCTGGGCTCCTAAGAACACCTGAAGAAGTCACATTCTAGATCCCCCTATGCTTACTAACCACTGGTCTCCTGAGCCACATACTTCAGCCCACAGAGAATAGCAACAGACACACAAGGAAATAGGCAGGGGGAGTCCAGGGCTGACCTGAAATTCCTCATCACAGTAAAGATGAACTAATGAAAGTTCATAACAGCACAACATCCCACACCATTGGGGCTGCCTGAGATTTTTACCCAGTCATGTGTTTCCTGTACTTGAAGAAGGAAAAAAGCATTCAGCCCTAGAAAAGAACTTCTGTTTCCCCTTTTCATCCACAGGAAATATACAAGTGGATAAAAATCTCAGGCAGCCCCAATGATGTGAGATGTTGTGCTGTTGAGAACTAAAATTAAGAGCAAGACTGAAGGGGGTTATGAGGCAAAGAGAGCAAAGATGGTGTGATTACTCTGTTCTGTCCTGCTGGTAGACTGATGAAATATGAACTATCTGTACTTTTCCTGTGGCTCTAGCAAGTCAATCACCATGTGCCCAGAAGTAGTGATATGCATGATGAAATGGAGAAAAGCTTTAATATCCAAGGAAAATCTCCATTTCATGCTGGCTAAGGTTTGTTTCTGTCTTAGCTATCTCTGAGTCTACCAGAATCCACTTAATTTAGGCAAATAACCTTCTGACAAATGTGCTCATTCATCCAAGATATATTTCCTTCACTCTTGCTTTTTTGCTTATGGAATCTAACACTGTCAAAATCTCCTTTTAATCGTCTAAATTTTCTGCATTTATTTCTTTTTAATGTTGCCATAGCTTACAGTCTACAAAGCACTCAGACTCATGTTCAAAACAATATCAAATTTAAAATACAGTTGGATCTTGCAGATATTCAGACAAACAGGTCTCTAGAATTTTGAGATTTACCTCACAGTTTTTGCATGATCATGTTGCCTGCATCTCAAAAAACTAGTCCTTTAATGGCAAGCCCTCTTAATACTCCTCAGTCCCTTGGCCTTAACTTTCTATTTTTAGACATTTTATTCGGCATAAGCAATTCTGCCTCTCTCAGGTTACAATGTCTTTCTAAAGGATTTCTGTATACTTAAAGAATGGTGGTCAGCTGTTTTCCATAGCCTTATTAACAGAGGAAATGGGTAAAACTCACAGCATGAGGGACTTACCACTTTCTTATAGGGAAGGTCATTGACAGCCTACTGGAAACCCTCCACCCAAAACTATGTAGTATGGCTTTTCCTGCAGATGAAAATTAAGGGCCATGTTAATTTTTCTTGTCAGTAACAGCATCTGTGCCTAAGGGTACAGGAATGGAATAATTGACCTCTCTTGGTCATTGCCAACCCTGTATGATTTCCATTCTGCCATGTAAAAACAAACTCCTTATGTGTCAAATAAAAAAAAATCACAGAGCTTGAACCAGATCTCACCAGGAAAGCATGTAATTCTGGCAGGAATCAGGGTCTGAATGAAGCTCATTTTCCAAGGGAAAAAATTACAGCAGAATACACTGAGTTTTCTGAGCTTTTATGTTTTTTAGAACATGGTCACATATTCTCTCTGCAAATCTTTTACACTCCATTTTATTTTGAACAAAGAATCAAACTGAGTGTTTCCTCCTTGGGCCAGAGTGAAGCAAGTATATTACTCATGAGAGAAGCAAATTAATTTCTAGTAGAATAAGAAATAATATTATTATGAACACAAATTAACTATACAATTCTGGCAGTCCCTATGACATCAACCCTAAAATACATCTTTTCTTTCATTATTTTAGTAAAAAGTTGTCAATTTCATCCATGCAGAATAACTTCTTTTTTATGAGGTAGACAGAAGTTGGGTGGTTAAAGAGTTATATTTATGTACTAGAACAGGTTAAAAAAGTTTCAAAAAACAAGAAACTCGATATTCAAAACATAAAAATGCTGGCAAACACTGATGTAAGATATAGAAATACTCTATTCATCAACTTTCTATTTCCTAGACTATAAAATGCTACATTACCCAGTCTTCAAAGTACTGTGAGAATCCAAGAGGTATATGATTCTTCATAAAATGTCTTGAAGTTTTACAAGTGCATGCTTGCATTTTCAGTTTTGCTCTCACATGCACCCAACACACGTTTCTCAGGGTCTCCAAATAATGATGTGATTCATTGATTACATGTCTGACGTTTCAAAAATTTCATCACAGGGCTAAGTAGGAAAACCTTTCAAGGTGTATGTAATCTTCTTCCATTGAAAACACACAGGCAGCAATAGAGCATATTTTCCTGTAATTCATCATTGGGTCCTTGAGGGTTTTTTTTTTTGTGTGTGTGTGTGTGCATGTATGTGCATGCACACATACACATGTGTGTACATGTGTCTTAATATGTTACAAAAATAAATAAGAACTGTTATCTGGTGAAACAAAATGTCTGTAATTCCATTGGGAAAGGAAAAGAGGTGCTTGAAGATACCCAGCTTCACATGGATGGCAAAGGAGCAGGCATTCACTTTCAAGCAGTACATAATTGCTCAACTAATTTAAGTGTGTAAGAACAGAAGACAATGGAGAAATAAAAATAATGAATATGTTAGAATCTTTGTAACCTATACGCAGAGATGCAAATTAGAAATTCAGAATACATACACACACACACACACACACACACACACACATGCATGCCAAACACCACCCCCTTTCCCTAGGAGTCCATTCTCCTTTCTCCTAGTTCCTTAAATTCTTATTATTTTTCAGAAGAGGGGGAAGCTAAAGACCAGTTTGAATTAAAAGAATCAATCTAAAAGAGATTAAGATTCAAAAGAATTCATCTTTCTTAGTCTATGTCAGTGTTTTAAGGCATAATAGAAAGTAAAAGTTTTAGCACATTGTAATTGTTGTGAAAGCAATAGAAATTGTCACATGGAAGACAGAGTAATCAAATACTTGTCACTGTTCCATTATCTTGCAAAGTATTCTTACTTGCTTGTGCTCTGTGCCTCTGATGTGCATGACATGAGCAAACTGCAGGGCAGACAGAAGTTAACTTTTGGAAGCTGCAACATACAGATGGACTAATGCTTTTTGATTGCCTAGTGTATACATTGTGCTAAACACTTTCCAAACATGTAGCTCCTTCTATGTTCTCTACAGCTCTCTGTAATCAGTTAACTTATTTATAGTTGAAGAAATACTATCTAAATATATTTATGTAACTTGTAAGTTATAGAGTTGGGGATTGAGCCCAGAGAGGTCTGAAAGTTTAAAAAGAAAAGAAAAAAAGAAACATTCTCTTGCCTCCAAGTTATCTAGCGAAATGCTGGAGAACAGAGAAATGCCTAGGTATTTGACTGTGTGGGGATGTGACAATTTAAAGAAAAGAAGAAAAAAGCCGTGCTGGATGATTAAGTCACACCATAGCATAGTCACTTATAAAAACTATTTCTAAAGCTCTTTGTCCATATTTTAATAAGTTGAAGATGTTCTTGAGATAAGTGTTTGTTACAGAATTAAGAAGGTGGAAAGAAAAAGTGCATTGTGAATTGAAATGAGAAAAGGCAAGGTCTCATATTGATTCTTTACTCTTGGAATCTCATTAACTATCAGATGGAATTTAATGACTGCCCACAAATAAACAGCCTTTCTCCCGTTCTTAGCTGTTAAACTGCCCAAAGCCACCCATACGGATTAGTCTGAAATGCTCTTAATGTTCCTGCTGGTGGTTAAAAAATCAGCCTTAGATACCACAATTCTTTTTCTCTCTTTCCTTCAGGCTGCTAAAAGATGCACAGAATGAAGTTTATTTTAAAAGCTGGTATCAGAAGCTGTTGGCTGCTCTCCAATTCTGTGCAGGAAACGCCTTGAATGATGAGTTTTCTAAGGAGAGGAAACTCATCAAAATTCTGGGAGATATTGGAGAAAAAGTCAAGTCTGCCAGTGACCCTCGAAGACAGGTTTGTTAAGAAACCAATCTCAATGTAGTGAAAATTATTTTATTTTTAAGTTTGGTTCAATTAAATTTTAATTTCATAGCTTAGAAAAAAAATTCCTTGACTATACTTAATTATAAGACATTTAATTACTTTTACCAAGTTTTTTTCTTTTCCACTGAACTTTCCTAAAGTTAATTTCTATCACCCAGGACATGGTTTTGTGATATAAGTTCCATGTGGCACAGACAGAACAAGAAGAGACCTACTAAAAGGCAGTTTAATCACAAAAGCCTGGAGACAATCTTAAAACGGCAGCACTGCTCCAACTTATAAGAGAAGGTAGAAATAGTGGGTGTAGATTTTCCTAACATTGCCCTAACCAAAACCATATTTGAAAAAAAAAGTTTTCTTTTTTTTCCAAAACAAATATAAAATGACTTAAATGAAACAAATTAATAGTGTTCCAGATAGTGATATTTTTACAAAGATCTTAGATGATAGTTAAAATACTATGTGTTTCTCACTGATTATAATAGTAAACCTTGCTATTCTTTTCTTTGGTCTAATAGAAGAACATTTGCTCTTTTTAATTATCTGCATCAATAGTTCCCTTCCCTGATATAGACCATTAAGTAAGGTTCTCTTTAAGTTCAACATTTGACATACAGGGAGATGGTGGACATTCATCCATTGTATGAGGAACATTATTCAATAACAATTGAGGACTCACTACAGACTTGAAGTTAAAGGAAGAAATATGACTAAAACATGAGTCTTGTCCTCAAGGGAACTCAGATTTTCTCCACTCACTGTCTAAAATCAACAAAATTGTTCAACCAAATTATATGAAAACAGTAATTTGCAAAGTGTCCCAGAATTTTTTCTTACTGGTAATCACTTCATTTAATAGAAATGCCAGAAACTAAGATACTTCACCTACATAGGAGAAAATGGAAAAGAAAAAGCACAAATATTTCATTTTCAAATGGGAGATATACAAGATTTGGCTAAAAGGAAGAAACTTGAAGATAATCACATAATTGGTAATGCAAATTTTGAAAATTCTGTAATTTCTCATACTACTATACAAGCTCATTAATTGTTTTCTAGTGATGGACAAAAGATTGATAGCAAGTAAAATAATTTGGTTTAAAATTTACAGAAGTCTGTATATAAATTTGATTTTTATTGCTTATATTTGAAAATCCCTCACATAATTGTGGTGGACTCTACAATTAATTAGTCCTAGTGCCTTTTTTTTTGACAATTTGCATCAAGTTTCAGAGTGATACTGACAATATCCATCCAAATCTATTTCTCTTGCCTTAACTGACAGCTTTTGTGAAAACAACTCTTCACATGAAAGTAGGAAGAAAAAAAGCAAGAGGTCAAGGAGGCCTTTAGAGTTTCTCCCCATTTATGTTACTTATAGTTTTTTTTTTCTTCTACTTAAAAAAAGCATTTAATTAACATAACTATACAAATTGGAGAAAGTTTACTTAAACAAAGAGGTCAGAGATTCCCCTCCAGGATATTCAGCATGCAAGGCCAATCTAGATAAGGCAAGAAGAGCAGATAGAAACAAAATTCCCATAGTGAAATTTTACTTCAATCTCCACCTTGCTCTTTTTAGATTCTGGGAATAGCAGATTCTATTATTTGCTGGTGAACCAAGAGTAAGAGTTAAGAAACTTTTGACAGTCACTTAAACATTATGAATCTGATAACTTCATCTTCAAATGGCCTTAAGGAGTATTCAAAATTGAACTAAAAGAAGCTTTTAGTTTTGTTTTATGATTAATTGTGATTGTTTTCCACCTTTTTTTAAAGGATGCACAATTCTAAATGTGTCATTTGTGATCTCTGACCTTCCACAGTTTCTGTGGAGTACCAATGGGATTATTAATATTAAATTGCATATAAAGCATAAATAATATGCTAATTGGCATCTAGTAAACTATTTGTTCAAACATATTGTTTCTGACAACATAGTACAATTGTCATTGTCACTAATATATGTGAATATTTTCTAAAATGCACTATTACTATTAAATATAAATCTTGAGAGTTATAAACTAAAATTTCAGAAAATTATCAGAAAAAAAAGAATCATGTTGCTAATTCCTTTAAGCAGGAGTTGCAGATTGGTGGGCCACAGGTCAAGTCCAACCCATTGTGTTTTGTTTGAACAGAATAGCTCTTTAATTGGTATTTGCTTTTAACTGAGTTTTAAGTCACTGAGAAAGGGCATGCACTCTTGGTTCCCCCTTTTCCCTAATATTTCCTTTAGTCCACTGCCTCCTGATACATGACTACATCACCTGCCTGGCTCGAAAGTCATCTGAGTATGCTGTCTCTGAATGGAAGAGTTTATTTAACCAATAGAAGAAGACTATAATTGAAAATAAGGGTCTGGTTTCTTAAATACTTGTTTTTGTGTTTTTTTTTTCAAATGACTTTTTCCATAGGAGGTACTAAGGAAAGAGATTGGCAGACTAGAACAATTCTTTCAAGACATCAATAGCTGTCATCTTCCTCTGAACCCTGCACTATGTATAAAAGGGATTAATCGTGATGTAAGTCAACTTAGTAGATAAATTGAATATTTCTGGTTTTTGTTGTTTAGTTTACCATATATTTTTTGGAATGACATAAAGAATTCATAAATTGACATTACAATTATTTTAAAGAAAAAATAATTGAATCCAATCCACACTGTGTGTGTGCTTGCTCTATTTGACACACTATGACCAGTTGGGATCTCCTTGGCCTTGTATGATTTGTTGTTTTGTTTTCATTTTTTTTAAAAAAAAAATTAAGAAAGGTACTTCTCTTACTGAATTGATTTAATTCATTTAAAGTGGTTGATTTGGTGATCCCCATGCATGGACCATTCCCTATTTCCCTTTGAGTCACTAAGGGATGGACCAGCTGGGAAAGCTGGTTATAATTTCATGCTTTATTTAGACTATGCATATGGTCATGTATAGTACACTAACGTTAATTATTAACTACATGACATCCATTTTTATTCAATTTAAAATTAACTGGTACCCATATGTCAGTATGCCAAACACTTGTGATTTTACTCATATCTGGAAAGCATTTCCTAGTTACTGTCAGATTGACAACCTCCTAAGCTTTCTCTTCCTAATCCTCTGTCATGTGGTACATCCTCCATCACTGTACTTATTTTTCCTTCTTTCCTGTAAAGTTTTACTTCCTCCTTCTCAAAAACCAGAGACTAGAAAGACACTAACAAAGAAATTATTGATAAGTGATATTTCAAAGTGAAGAGGTTAAGGAATCATGCATTCACAATGAATAATTTTTAAGGGAAATCATCAGACAGTCAAGAAAATAAACAAAATAATTAGAGAAGAATTAGACTATTGCTAGTATAAATGCAAACAGGTTTGCTAAAAACTTGATACCAACATCTTCCTGCCTCTGTCACTACCAAGATATCCTACAAATTTTCCTGATATGCTTATGAACATATTTTGAAAAATAAAAATAAGGCATTAAATTCCATATACTGAGACATAGATACCTGGACTAAATTCAAAATCATCACACATTCTTTAAATTTATTTGACTTTTTAATCATTAGTAGTGTTTACTAATGCCAAAGATAAATATTCAGCATTTCAAGGAAGAAATAATAGGGCTCACAAGGTCCAGTATTGGTTTTTGCTTTTTCTTTCTAAGATTTGTGTGTCTGAATGTGTGTATGTTTTAAGGAGTAGAGTGATTTGTTTTTTCAATTAAAATTACACGTGAGTTTCAACTTGTTTGTGACTTGAGGGTGGAGGGTATTAATGCTATGGGGAGCCTCTTGAGTGTTCCAGGTAAGCTGGCTGGGCCAAGAGTCACCATCCTGAAAGCCACCATCCCTTACTCTGTGGCTAGGACCACACTCTTTCCCTGCAGCACCTTACAGCTGGCAGGGCTTACCTGAGGCTCAGAAGTTGCCCCACACAGAGCCACTTCCTGGCACCAGGTGCTCTGACCTGCTGTGCCAGCACAGACTCTACACCTGTGAGAACAGCAATAAATAGACATTGGGGGATACACTGTCCTATGACACATTTTAATATGCCCTCCAATCCTCCTGAAGAATGAGATGAAAAAACTTACAGTTCTCAGTTCTGATAGAAAATTTATCGACTATCAGAGAATCCACACTCATAAGAATGCTTATGACTGCAATGAACACAGCAAGGCCTTCCATCAGAGTAAACATCTTATTCAACTCTTAACATGTTGACTCTGGGAAATCCATACCCAAACCAGAGAAAAGCCTTTTGAATGCACCATGACAAAGCATTCTGGGTGAATAAAAGTCTTATTTTATGTTAGAAACTCAAATAGGCAAAAAGCTCTACAAATGCAATAAGCATGGAAAACTTGTGATCAAAACTCTCACCCCATTATACAGCAGAGAATTCACCCTGGTGAGAAACCCTTTGAATGCCATTAAGTATCGAAGGCCTTCAAGTATAGTTAGAGTACATTGGAGAACCTATTCTGAGGAGGAGACTTAGGAGTGCACCAAATAGGAAAGCCAGATGACTGTGTGAGCCTTTATAGCTATTATAGCCCTCAGCTTGCAATGTACTGAAGGGTCACACTAGAGAAAGGTCCCAACAGTGCAGTAAGCATGGCAGTCTCCAGTAGGGGTCTTGTCACCACCAGGCAATTCTTAGACCTGGCTCATTCCAATCCTTAAAACATGGTTTTCAAAGGCAGAAGGCAAGAGTTGGGTTTGAGTGAAGCCTACTTTGTAAGAATTCTCAAATTTGTTTCTCCCAGGAACCACTAATCGCAATGGACAATTTCCTATTTCCCATGAGTTACTTAGAGATATACCAAGTGGGAGAGTTGAGGATAACTTAATACAGTCTTCCTCCACTTGGGATTCCTCCACTGTTGGAAAAGCAAAAACTAGCCATTTCATTTAGTTATAGGTTTCACTTTTTTTTTCAACTGTTTTAAGATGTATATCAAATCTCTCTTTCTCTATTGCAGTTTTTCTATTTTACCATTTATATAAAATAGTTCTGTAAAACTGATGCACTCTTTCCTGTCTCTCGACTGTAGCTATCCCAATCCAATTTTTAAATTCTGCTCTGATATAGTTTCTCATTGTTTGTCTTTCCCTACTTAGAACTCCTTTTTTGGTTTATTTTGTTTAGCCTATTTGCTAAGCTAATGTTCCTCACAGTCTTCAAGATCCAGGTCACCTTGGAAATACCTTCTTCTTCAAATGCTTTTTCATTCAACTGTAATAAATTGCCTTATGAAATATTTTCATTTAATGCATATGTATATCCTTTTATATCAATATGGAAAGCTTTTTGAGGGTGAATATGATGCTTTTTTCTGTAAGAGTATAAGTAATTGTTTGTGCATATTAGTTGTTAAATGTATAATAGTTTTGATATGACCCTCAAAAATAGTATACATGTGCAAACCAAGGATGAAACAATGAAAACAGAATTGCTGTAGATGATATAGTTAAGAAGAGGAGGGCTAAGCCCTGACTCAGTTTCCCTTTCACTTTTGTCTACCCCTAGACTTGGGATTCCTGAAAGAGATCCCCCCAAATTGGAGTAAAGGGTTTGAAAATTCCTAATCTAGACTCACTTTTTGCCTCATATGGAATTTCTGAACTCTATTCCATGACAGGATCACGTGGTCCCTAATTAATTGACTCTCATAGCCCGAAATTCATGTTTAACAAGCAGTCTCACCCATGGAACTCGAAAACTCAAAATTGATTCACTAAGCAAGGGGTTATACTTTCTCAGGGATTAGGTTAGATTTAGGTTGAGAAGAAAGTTAAGCAATAGATCCTTTCCTCTGAGTTTATATCTATGTCAGATATCTTAAAGATAATGACATTTGAACTGATCCTTCAATGTGTATTGATGTCGTATTTTACTAAGTTGATAAATTGAAAGCATCAAATCCCTTTCCTTGCTTTTGTATTGATTTAACTCTTCACTTTCAACATGAACTCCTAGGAGTCCAAACACAAACAACCTTTCAACACTCAAACAACTGTAATAAAATGAAAGGAAAATCCTCAATAAGAAGAATGTAAAGTAATCAATATTGTAAGGCAGAAAATGAAAATTCAAAATGTAACTGAAAGAAATGAGGAAAACAAATATGTGTTATGCTGTCAATCATAAACAAAATGTTCATTAACAAATGGGAAAGAAATGTATTTTTCTTTCAAAGTATCTGACTAGTGACAGGCACAGTGAGGGTATTTTATATCAACTAGCTCATATATTACAAAAATGTGGGAGATAAGCATTGTCATCTCCATTTTTACAGTGGAATACAAACACATTTAGTAACTTACTTGAAGTCACACAAATAATGAGTTACAGAGCTCAGATTTGAATTCAAGTCTTTCTTAACTCTGTATCTGTGTTTCCTTAAGGTGTGCTGTAGGACAGAAATAATTTTGTTTATAGCAGCACAATTCACAATAGCTAAACTGTGGAACCAACCTAGATGTCCTTCATTAGATGAATGGATAAAGAAAATGTGATATATATACACAATGAAATATTATTCAGCATTAAAAGAGAATAAAATAATGGCATTTGCAGGTAAATGGATGGAGTTGGAGAATATAATGCTAAGTGAAGTCAGCCAATCCCCCAAAAAACAAATGCTTAATTTTTTCTCTGATTTAAGGCTGCTGATTCATAATGGTGGGGTGGAGTGGGGATGGGGACATGGGAGAATGGGAGAATTTGATGAACTCTAGATGGGGCAAAGGGTTTGAAAAGGAGAGGAAGGAAAGATGGTAGAATGAAATGGACATCATTACCCTAAGTACATGTATGAAGACAGGAATGGTGTGACTCTACTTTGTGTATAACCAGAGATATGAAAAATTGTACTCTATATGTGTAATATGAATTGTAATGCATTCTGCTGTCATATATAACCAATTAAAATTTAAAAAATCAAAAAATATAGCAATTTTAACATTTACCTATTAACCAACTAGTACAAACACAATACCTACATACTTCCTAGTTTACTTAAACCTTAAATATAGCACTATTGATGCTCAGTAAAGAAAAACTGTAGTTTAAGATTTACAACCTGCTGAAAATCTGGCTTCTCAGTTTCAAACTGAAATAACAACAACAACAACAAAAAAGAAATGTATTAAGGTTGGGGATGTGGCTCAAGCGGTAACGCGCTCACCTGGCATGCACGGGGCGCTGGGTTCGATCCTCTGCACCACATAAAATAAAATAAAGATGTTGTGTCCACTGAAAACTGAAAAATAAATATTAAAAAATTAAAAAAGGAATGTATTAAAATTTAAAAGTACTTGATTAGTGTCAGGCACGGTGTAAGGTATTTTATATGCATTAGCTCATATATCTGTATGTATGAGATACAAAAGTATATTCCAAGACCCCCAGTGAATGCCTGAACTCACAGATGTATTAAACCCTACATATACTATACTTTCTCTTATATTTGCCTATGAAAAGGTTTAATCTGTAAATGAGGCATAATAAGAGATTAATAACAATAACTAATAATAAAATAGAACAATCATAACAATACGCTGTAATAAAACTGCCAGCATCAATACACTGTAATAGAATTGCCAGCATCACCACTTACATATATTGGGGTAATTAATAAACAAAATGAGGGTTACTTGAACACAAGCACTGTCTATACTGCAAAGGTCGATTTAAAAATCAAACAGGCTACTAACTAACAGGCAGGTAGCATATACAATGGGAATGTACTGCAAAAATGAATGTATGTGAATCATTCACATACTGGGAATGATGGAGTGGCATGATGTAAGATTTCATCCCACTACTCTGAATGGTATGTAGTTTCAAACTTAAAAATATTTCTTTCTGGAATGTGTCCTTTTAATATTTTCAGACCATGGTTAACTAAAGGTAACTGAAACTGCAAAATGCAAAACTTTATAGAAAAGTGGACTGCTATAAAGGAATCGATTGTTAGACTAAAGTTTGCTTGTTTTTAATAAATATGTTTCTCTATTCCAAAGTGTAAAAATTACTTATTTGTGTTTTATTTGTTCTTATACTAAATAATGCAGAGGATTATGATTACAGGAAAGACGATTATGTTTGCTTTATTCCACTCACCATTTTTCTCTTCTTGTCTTCCTATAGGCATGTTCATATTTCACATCTAATGCTCTGCCATTGAAGATTACTTTCATCAATGCTAATCCAATGGGCAATAACATCAGCATTATTTTCAAGGTACTGCACCCCTTCCAAAACATCAAATTGATTCTATAAGCAGAACTATTGATTTATTACTCACAAAAAGAAATGATTACAGCTATTTTCCTCTGGCAACAACAGAGATTTCTCAATTATTTTAGATTCTGCCTTTTTACAAAATTATAATACATGCCAAAGTATGATTGGCAATAAATCAAATATTACTGGCTCAAAGCCAGAGAACTTTCAGTGCAGAACTTAAGAATATACTTTAATAAATGAAAGTATGTGATTACTTTTTAGTTGCACAGAAAGTCGAGTATATGGTTAGCCCTTAAGAGGAAAGTTTTCTTTTGGCCTTGACACTGAATTAGAATCACAATTAGCGGTAACACAAATGATGTCAATTAATTTAACATATGATTTTTAGCTGAAAGTACTTGCTTGTTTTAATAAATTGGATCATTTTATTTTTTGCAAATACAAAGGAAGTAGGTACAGGTTCAGTTCTCATCATAAATGCCATAGGGAAAAAAAGAATAAAAGGGAGTACCAGAGTTATAGACTGGTAGGAAAGAAGGACTAATGAGAGAGCTGTTAGGTAACAAGTAAGACTGCCAATCATCCAGCTAATTTAGTCAATTATTCAACAAGGTCTCAGAGTGAATCTTTGGTGGATTCTGACTGTTTATTTTTAAGAATGAGGATTATCATGCCTACATTTCTGCTTTGACCTTTGTAACCTCAATTGTTTGTGGGTCTCAACGCTGTATTTTCAGAAAGGAAAAAATTCCACAAACTCCCATCTTGTCAAGATTTTCTGTGTATCATTTAGAAAATATTTTCAGAATCAAACTGTTTATTTCTTTGAGAGCATGGTACTATCCTTCCCCTTTGGACATACTGCAATTCCTTCACCTTTGCTGGAAAAATCACCCCTTCATCATTTCTTATTATTATCAAAGATAGCTCTCTCCAAAAACTAACTGCCTCATAACAAGAGAAATCATTGACACAATCTGCTGAATTATGCGTGTACTATTTACTAAGTCAAAAACACTTCGTTTTCTGACTGTGTATCAGTGCATAAGCTTATGCATTACCAGATGATCTTCACTTAGAAACAGATCTCTTGGTGAAATTTGAAATTTGGGTAAACATCTGTTCACCCTCTCTTCACTAGACTTTGAATCTTAGAAATCACACACAGATAATAAATGGAAATATTATTATCAGGAACAACATTCCAAGCAGCCCTTCTAATTTGGTGGCTTCTGCAATCATGTTAAGGGAAGTTTTTGTTTTCTTTGATATTCTATCAGAAACATAAGGTACTTTTAGTGCTAATAAAACACGTGAAAACAGTCTAAGTCAGGCTGGAAATGTATCCAGGAAAAGAAATGGCATATACCATATTTGAATGCTTTTAATGGAACTCAAGGAGAAACTCAGAGTCTATAATTTTGTTTCTAACAGGCTGGAGATGATCTTCGCCAGGATATGCTTGTTCTGCAGATTATTCAAGTGATGGACAACATTTGGCTGCAGGAGGGCCTAGATATGCAAATGATCATTTATAGATGTCTATCCACAGGAAAAAACCAAGGTCAGTATAGATTAAAAAATGAGTCAACTTACATTATTCATCTCACACATTCACTGATAATATGCCACAAAACTTTCTACAGCTTTCATTTTAGACTACAAATTCAAAAATCCAAAGAACTATACAAATTCTTCCTTTCTAAAAGAATTTTCTCTGGAGGCTGAGGCAGGCAGATTGCAAATTTAAAGCCAGCCATAGCAACTTGACAAGGCTTTAAGCAATTTAGCAAGACCCTTTGTTGGAATAAAAAACAAAAAAGGCTGGGGATGTAGCTCAGTGGTAAAGTACCCCTGGGTTTAATCCCCAGTACCCCCCCAAAAAAGAAGAAATTTCAAAACTGATAAGCCAAAATTTATATAAAGCGTAACATGCTTTTAAATAGTAATTGGACCTTTTCAAATCCAAATGTTAATTGTGATGTTCTTTTTAGTGTTTTAAGAAGTTGGCTATAGCTCGGCACAGTGGCACATGCCTGTAATCCCAGCGTATCAGGAGGCTGAAGCAGGAGGATCTTGAGTTCAAAATCAGCCTCAGCAAAAGTGAGGCACTAAGCAACTCAGTGAGACCCTGTCTTTAACACAAAACAAGGCTGGGGATATGGCTCAGTGGTCATGTGCCCCTGAGTTTTAATCACTGGTACCAAAAGAAGAAAACATTTAGCTACACTATGAACTCATTTTTTTCTTATTTCCTTAGGTAATATAGATGCTTCTTGACTTACAATGGAGTTATGCACTGATAAAGCCATCATAAGGTGAAAGTGTAGTGTGTCAAAAATGCATTTAACACACCTAACCTACCAAACATACTTCATCAGCACGATGCACCACAGAGTATCTGTTGTACATCTTTGTGATTATGTGGCTGACTGGGAGTTATGTCTCACTGTCTCTGCCCAGCATCACAAGAGAGTACTGTACTACATATAGCTAACCCAGGAAAAGACCAAAATTGAAAATTGGAAGTAATGTTTTCTACTGAATGCATATCACTTTTGCACCATTGTAAATTAGGTAAATCTAAGTCAAATCATCATAAGTCAGGTACCATCTGTAATAGAAAAGTCTACTCATTCTAAACAAACACAGTTACTACCTTAATGTTAACATAAATTTTATATATTTAGAACAGAACTGAAAATTCTAATTTCTAAGACTTTTGAGAAGATATAATATCAACTCAAAAATGGTCACACATGCAAACTGTGAACACTTTTTGCTTTTCCTTTATAAAAGCCAATAAATTAATAAGGAAACATAGTTTCATTTTCAGTGAAATAATGTACACCCAAATTATGACCAAAGCATCAGATGAAAGTTGTTCTTAGTTACAATCATGCTAAATTGAAGAAACAATTCCTAATATATCATAATCACTTTTACATAAGAACACGGCCATTTAGAATTCATTATAAGCTGTATGAATTATAACAGATACATACATGTGTGTAAACAGAAGGCTGAAACCATATCCCTGCACAAGGGACCTACTCTGTGTAGTTAATTTTTTTAAAATTCAAACAGAGCTACAGTTTAAACCTGTCAATCAACCCCAAAGAGCTACCACTGCCTTATTCCTCAGTTCCTGAGGGCTCACCAACAGACTCAAGGTCAACTGTGACTTGAGACTTGAATACGAAGAATAGAAGGGCCTCCAAGCTACCTTTACTTGCAACCCAATACCTCAAAGTGGCTCAATAATAAGTCATACCACCAAATTATTTTGATTCTGATAGTAGAACTCTTGTTTCCATGCCCAATGTCCCAACTCTGGACCCATTCTAAAGCTTTAGTTCAAAAAAAATTTTTTTATTGTTACTATGAGATTGTTATTTCTTAAGTTTTGACCTCCCTTTTCTCACATCAGGGACCTAATTCTTTCATATCCTAATATTCTAAAGAAGTAAAAATAAAGCCAAATGAGCCAGGCTGAGCTTTTTAATGTAACCCAGATCACCTTTCCTTCATAAATTGAATAAATCACTGATCCCAATGGAATTCTTCAATTCCATCCACTCAGATCTGTTTATAATCACAGAATGTAATTGTGACAAAAACCTCTTCAAGTTTATAAAAGGATTCAGCAAAATATTACTGTAGACTTGCCCAAAGTTGGGCATAAAACAAACAAGCCCCCCCCCCACCTTCTACTGACAAGCTTCTATGAATATCAGATTGTATAGGACATGACACCAATAAAACACTTCTTGAAGAAAAATAGAGATTAAAACAAATGTCATTTTTAGAAGATTAGGTTATGTTCTTCATCAGGTTCCAAGATTGATATTGAGTATGTGCTGTTCAAAAAATATTTAATTTTTAAAACTCAATCATCTCTCTATTTGTACAGTTATATCTGTGTCCCTGGTCCCTCTGGGCATTTGAGTTTGCAGCTCTTACACTTGTGCAGATTATGGAAATGAGAACTCTGTATTTTAATTTCTTTCAATGATTTTATTTATAAAACTCTGCACTGAGGGGTATTTTGGGACATTTGTCTTGGGAGAATTTTAAGCACTGAGTTTTAATTGCTATTCTGTATACACTGAAAATTAGAAGCCTTGAAAATATTTACATGCTAATAACCTCTGGTGCACAATGCAAAAAACCTTGGCCACTGGAGCAAAGGTCCTACTTAAGTTCAATCAACACATGCTTCCCTTAAAAAATTCCTTCTTATACTTTCTCTCTAATGTGAACTGGAAAGGAAGGAGCAGGTGGCTTCCATGTGTTTACTGAAAATATTCTCTTTCCTAGCAGAAATGTAACATTTAACTGTTATTAATATGAACATTGACTTTTATAATATATTTTAAATGTTGTTTATGGAGATTTGCATTGGGTTCACTTAAGGAAGAAATATTTTGGTCATATAAGCTCAAATGTCCTCCCTTACAGGGCAATGGGTGTCCCAGTCATGACACCTAATCTTCTCTTCTGTTGATTCAGTGGGGACTCTGAGAGATCGCCTAGATTGGCTCTCTACCATAATTCTACAAAAAATATTGAAATTGTTTTGATAGATCTGATCCAACTCCAACTGATCCCTGGGATTTAGGAACAATTACAAGGAGCCCATCCAGATAGGCTTCTGCAAAAGAGAAGTCTTAGAAAGGAAAAGGGTAATCCAAATAGTTCTGACAACTATTGTTGCTGTTACATAGATCAAGACATATTTTCTAAATCTCCCTCATCCTGGGAAGAAAGAACCATTTCCTTAATCTCTTTTTTCTAATCCACCAGGACTGATACAGATGGTGCCTGATGCTATCACCCTGGCAAAGATCCATCGCCATTCTGGGCTAATAGGACCCCTGAAAGAAAACACCATCAAAAAGTGGTTCAGCCAGCACAACCACTTAAAAGCCGATTATGACAAGGTCTGTCCTGCTGCAACTAATTTTAAGTAATGTGCTTAAATAAAAATATGCTTCGGTTCATTAGGTATTCAGATTCATGGGAAAGTAAACTAAGTACACCTTGAGTTCTAATTCCCTCATCATCAGTCTCATAATAATGACACAGTTTAAATGACATATTAACGAGATAAAACATTTCTATGTTTGGTTTTCATTCTCAGTGAAATTCCTAGCCATTAATAAAACATCTCTTTGCTCAGCTGCCTCTCTTACAACAATTTCACCCAAGATGATGGCCTCTTGAAACTACCTCCTTCAAGTAATTTCCACTTGTTTGCACACAATCTCTAATTTCTATAAATAACCACGCCTCCTTTGCTAGATACTTCCTTACTTGCTCTGCTTTTCTATCATTCTTGTGATGGTTTGTAGAATGCATAATTGTGTGTGTGTGTGTGTGTGTACTTTACAAAATGTACTGCAAACATTTTGCTCCCAGTTTATAGTACTTTGACACCTGGTCTATAATGTACAGTTGTGCAGTTTCTGCTCTATACTAGGCTCCTGAATGAAAGTTGAGTGTGACTAGAGTCAGGCCTAGTTCTACTTACCAACTCATGAACTTGTACAATTTGGTAACCCAGAGCACTAATTGACCTAAAATTGTAATACTGGCCAATGTTAATTTGGTCAGAACTGCCCTGGGCACTGACATCCTCTCATTCTGGGAGACTTTTCAGTTCTGGGCAAACAGGGATGATTGCTCACTCTATCCAGCATGGGCCATGCTAAGGAGACTGAGGAATTCCTCTGTTCCATACCACAATGAACTTGAAGGGAAGCAAAAAGCAGGGTTTTAGGTGCCAAATAACAAATAATGAGATGAGATTATCTTAAAATATGCCTTTTAACTATTCCTAAAATTTTAACTTGATTTTTGCACACACAGCTCTCATCAATGCTTTGAAGTGTATCCACATACATTTGCTTTACACAACTACCATGTAGAGGACATATGTTACTATCTTCATTTTGTAGGTGAAGAAATTCTAGACAGACAAATAATTGACTTGATCAGGCACTTGAGAGCCCTGGAACTAAGCAATCCAAGTGTCCTGGCATGTATTTCAGTGTCACAGACTTCCACTCCAGCAAGTTGTCCATGCCATTCTGGGATACTTGTAACCTTTACACAACCAACCCCTCATGGTTACACAAAGTTGATGAACGTGATGCATGTTCCTAAGACCATTTTTTTTTGGGGGGGGACTATTTTTGGAAAGAAACCTCTAATTATTAAAGAAGCATAAGCCATAATTAATTTAGTGGTAATCTGCTTCTAGCCACACAGACATTCACTAATGTATATTGTACTGAAATACTTTAAGACATTAACTGGATAACTTAAGGGTAAACAAAATGTTACCAGTATCTCAATATAGGTTTCCTGTATCCCCAAAATTCAAATATTTAAAAATGGTATTTAAAATATTTTAAATGTTGCCTCTGTGGAAAGACAGTGTTGGTCCATGTTGGTTTTTCTTCTTTTATTTTGAAAAAAAAATCATTCAATATTGTATAGTTGAGGCATCAAAAAAAAAAAAGGAAAAGAAAAGAAAGAAAGAAAGAAATCCTCTCTCCAGTAAGCTAAGAAAATTAACTCCATGTGAATGAGACACTTTTTCCCAATTTCCATGAAAAAGAATGCTTATTGTGTGTGTGTGTGTGTACTTTACAAAATGTACTGCAAACATTTTGCTCCCACTTTATATCACTTTGAAACCTGGTCTATAATGTACAATTGTGCAGTTTCTGCCCTATACTGGGCTCCTGAATAAAGGTTGAGTTGTGACTAGAGTCATATCTTCTATGTCATATCAAAAATCAGCCACTTATCCAGGCCCTTCTCTCTGCTAAGATACAGAAATTGTTCTCCATTGCTTTTCTCGTTTATTTTTTACCATTATCTCTGAGGCTAACGCATTTTCTCACTTTTTTTTTCTATTTTTGTGTTATTGTTTCTCAATTCATTAGGCCTTGAGGAACTTTTTCTATTCCTGCGCTGGCTGGTGTGTGGTAACGTTCATCCTGGGAGTCTGTGACCGTCACAATGATAATATCATGCTGATAAAGTCAGGCCACATGTTTCATATTGACTTTGGAAAATTTTTAGGTCATGCACAAACATTTGGAGGGATAAAAAGGTCAGTGCACAAATGTTTATTATAAAAATTAAGCAATGTCCTAAGTACCATATAACATGATAGCATAAAAACTCTGAAGATGACTTGCTTCCCATCTCTCAAATCCCCCAAGGCAAAGTAAATGTGACTATATACCTAAGAAGAATGAGGAGCAAATTTTTGTTAATGAAACAAATTGGGTTTTTGCAAATTGTTAGTGGAACTTAATAAAATCATGCTAAGTGAAATAAGCCAGACTCAGAAAGTCAAGGGTTGAATGTTTTTTCTCATTTGTGGAAGCTAAAAAGATAAAACAAATAATAATAATAAGTGATTTCACAAGAACAGAAAAGAGATCAGTAGACTACAAGTGGAAGACAAAGGGAGGAGAGGAAGAAAAGGGAAAGAATTAGGAAATTATGCTATGTGCATGTATGAATATATCACAATGCATTCCAATTTTATATGAAACTGAAAATAAATAGAAAGAAGACTTATAGAATAGAGGGAGGGTATGGGAAAGAGAAAGGAGGGGTCCAAAAGAAAAAGTACTGGGGATTGAAATGGAGCAAACTATATTACATCCATTTATGAATATATCACAATAAACCCCACTATTATGTCTAACTATCCTGCACTAATTTTAAAAAGTAGAAAAGAAAAAGTTAATAGACTAGCTCAGCCTTCCCCCATGAGATACTAATCCCATCCCAGCCTGAGTTATTTGAAGTAATAGTTGTGCTTTCCTGTAGACCTTGAATAGACAGTGAAACCCGAGTTGATGCGCTCGTACATCTGGTATATAGTCCAAAGCATCACCACTGTTCTATCATAAAACTAGCACACCTCCCACACTGAATTAGCCTTGAATCATTCCACAAATGCAGAATGAGTACCTACCATTCAAGGGCATTGAGCATACAACAACAAACAAAGCAGATGCCAACTCTGACTTCTTTGTAGTAGGGTGGACAGACAACAAATAAATAAGTGAAGAAATAATATTAGGAACTGAGAACTTCCATTAGCAAACTAAAGCAGAGAAATGGTGTAGAAAATGACTGGGGCAGGGATACTATTCTAAAAAGGCCTCTTAGAGAAGACAAAGAGCTGGGTAATGAGTGGTCACCTGGTGGAGATCCATGAGAAGAGTGTTCCAGGATGGGAGATCACACAGGACAGCCCTTCTCAGTTGAGTTCTCCAGAAACATAGAAATCCTGTCTCCATGCTTACACCAACTCTGAGGTTGTCTTAAACTTTCTGACTTCTGTGAGAGAAAAAAAACACATCTCACTTATGAATGTGAAGGATTTCACATCCTGTGCGTAAACAAACAATCCCTTCTTAAGCTTTAATTGTGAGATTAAATAGGATTTACACCAGCAGATTAAATCAAAGGGCAGTTCAGCCCCAGCATTACTTAATGATTCTGGATAAAATTTGGCTAATCCCTACAGTGGAAATAAGAAATTCCTTCAGCCTTCTGATGCCGGTTGGCTTTCTTTTGAAGTACTACTTAATCATTTTCTTTATTTCTTTATTTTCTCTCGCAAAGATACAAATTGAGTAGTTAGCAATTAGTGCATCCACAATTTCCACTCATTTCTCTGGTGACAATAATTTATATATAGTAATTATGAATATATCACATTGCATAAAAGATATTATTGCATAAAAGATATTATTGTAGCAGTAAACTATATTTTAACTCAATAATTCCTTCATGGTGATTTTTTTTTCTTATAGAACAGGCAATATTAGGAAAATCAGTTATTAGTGACATTTATTGCTTTTCTCATTCATTGTTTGAAACTCTTATTTTTAGTTTATCTTTCCAGTCCATATGAACTTTCACAATGGTAATGCTAACCTTCCATTAAGTCTTTCTAGTAACTTTCTTTCTAAATACTTTTAAGGGCAGCATGAGCCCTGGTTAAACATGGCCACTTTGGAGCAGACTATGTTTTTTTGAATTCCATGCTACCACAGGGTCACCGTATGATCTTGACTCCCCTATTCCTTAGTTTTCATATTGATAAAACAGATTTTTGTTTGAAGATTAAGAGAATTGGTATATGGAAAGTGCTTTGAAGAGTGCCTAACACTGAGTGAGGGCTTTATACATGTTTGTTGTCATTAATTGTAAGTGTTCTAAATGAAGTGACAAGAAATAAGATCACATCTCTGGGTGATAGCTTCTTTTGTTTAAAGGGATCTAAATATCTGATTTGGTTGTCTTTTAAAATCTGTACATTGAAATTCATACTTTAACTATTAGTCACAAATCAGAGCCTTTTTTCCTAAGAGAAAAAGTAGACCAGTTATTAAAAATTTACACTTCATCACAGGACATAAATCCACTTAACAGAGATGAAAACTCATCCCAGAATTCAACAAAATAAAATCTAATCTCCATCCTTTTCCTACTAAAATATGTATACAAAATGATCAATACGTTCAATGTCAGTCTTCTTACAACATAGTTTAAGCCTTTTCAATTTTATCCCAATAGATCACCAATCATCTAATATAATTAATCTCAGCCTTTTCATCTAGATACTATTCACAGAAATTCCCTATATCTACAGTAATTTTGACATTATTTTCACTAATTACCACTGATGTAATTCTTTTAAGTTTAATTTTGAATTTGGGTATAATAATACTTAAATTCTTAATCTTCTCAATTTGAAACCATCTTCTTTTAAAAATAAACTTTCTTAACATATGAAAAAATTAATTTTATTCTACTTCAGTCATTCTGGTTCAGCACAGAAATTAATAGTCTCCCACATGTTATGATTTCTTAAATGAAATTAGATGGGTCTCATTGGTTTGTTAATCGTGATTGTTTACTAAGAATCACTGTGGTCCTTCTCACTCAAAGCAGACCTTAGCACTGTGAGTCATCCAGTACACTCTGTAATATCTCACCACCTGTGAATGTCTTTAAAGATATCTTTATATCTTAAGCATCTAGTACAGAAAAGAGGTTCAATTATGGTTGATGGAAAGATCACTCCGAAAGTGTCATCAAATTTACTTCCCTTGGCTTCAGAAAGTTTTTCTAAATAAAACATTATTCAGGACGTGCCATATTCTGTTGCCATAACTGGAAATTCACTGCAGAACTTTTTGACCTAAAGGTCATTCCATATTTGGGAGTCTGGGGAAGGAGACCCAGAGTTCCTATAGAGTGTCACAAAGATAGTCCCTGGCAAGCTCCACACCACATATGAATGGAGCACTCTCCAGGGACAAGTCTGTCATTCCCAACTTCTCACCATTCCCCCTCTACTATTTCACCTTATCATTCCACTGTTTTATGTTTCCTTTGAATAGCCCCATTATATTTACCTGACCATGGTAAATTTAAACAGTTTCTCTGTTAAGAAACATTAATATTCTTCAAGAAGAGAACTTATAGGTTTTCATATGGAAAAGGTGAAGAAGAGTTTGAAAGAGAATAAAAGGAAAGGAAAGAAGGAAGAAAGGAAAGAGAACAACTTAAACAGTGTAAGGATTCTGTCTTCCTGTGCTCAGTTAGCCTACACCCCAGAGAGAAAAGAGCAAGGGTCAGACGGTGAGCCTATACAGCTGGTTTAAGGTAACATATGCCTGTCACTATAAGCATTTCATAGCCCTGACTCTAAATTTAGTCTTCAAAGAAAAACTACAAATGTTTCCTAAATGTGAGTCTCCTACAGGAACTTCATCACTAAATAATCAGTGCTCTGCTTTTATTGCTGGGAAAACTACCCATGGGGTTAAACTCAGTAAGAAACAGTATGCCCACTTCAAGCCCGACGCATAAATTTTGGTCAATGCATCTTTGTAACTTTACGGGTGACTTCAATGTTTTCAGAGGTAATATGGCTATTCTTGGTTTTCACCTCCTACCTAATTTCAGATCATACCCCTACTTAAAATATGACACGACAAATAGCTCTTCACCCAAGTATTATAGTGCTGATAAGCTTTTTCTCACATCCATTCTGACTTCTGTTCCAAGCATATTACCTCAATTCACCCTCAACTCAAGCTCAAGGGGAACATACATAGCAATTTGAAGGATGTAAGCCGTCTCTTCCTGCCCAGTGGTGAAATCCTACTCCACTATCAAATCAGACCCAGTATATTAGACTTCTGTAGAGAAGTAGGACTGATAATCTTGAAGAGGGAGCTATTCTTCAAATAAGAGGGATAATATACTTGAGTCAGTATCAGAAGTTATTAAGCAGTTAAAGATCAGTCTAACTTAGGGACACACAGTGAATTTACAAAAGAGGCCAGACTAGAGGAGGTGGGGGTAAGTTTTACATTTTAAAAATTATTGGTGAGACTCCCCTTAGTTAATAATTGCTGGGAGCTTGGAGATCTCACAGGACGTTAAATGTTCTTTCTGTAATAGTAACATGCACCCTTATGTTCTCATTATATTGTACATGTGAGGTTTCTTGCATTGCCTAATTATACAAGGTTCTATCCTATCCAATGGAGATTGCGAGTTTGCCTTCTCAATTAACTCATGGATATTAGATCAGAGACTTGTGTTCTTTCTGTTGGGCAGCAAAATTTGCTCTTTAAAATGTAGGTCGTGTGTGGTATCAAGAAAAGGGTAAGCTTAAACATCCCCCAATGCACTCTAGTCATTTATTTCTATGTTAATATCACTCACATTATGCATATCTACAACTTTTAGAGATCTTTAAAACAATATATTTTATTTTACTATGGTATTTCCTGATGACAAAAACATTTGAAATTTATGAAATTAATACAAATAATTTTAATAATAACAACAAAATATGCCTCTTCACTGAGTTCCACATTTTAGTTCAGGGTACAAATACATCATTGAAGCATGTGTGTCTATCTTTTTTTTTAACAGATTTTTATCAGTTGCTCCACAAAAAGAAGAAATATCTGTGTGCATAGAGTCCAATAGAAAGATTCTACTATCATAAATTCTTGCTAGAATTCTCTTTCCTTTCCCCTCTTCATATCCCTGCCACCATCA